CACCACCAGATGGACTTTGGACTTCCCAGCCTCAGAAACTGTAAGCAATAAATTTTAATTTTGTTTATAAATTACCCAGTTCCAAGTATTTTTTCTATAAGCAACAAAAACGAATACACCACAATAACAGATTAATGATAAAATATACGAGCATTTCAATAGATGTAGAAACATTAATGAAGAAATATTGAAAGTGTTCCCTTTATGATCACAAACAAAAACATCCATTTTCAACACAATTATATTAGAAGACCTGCCAATGGGATAAGGCAAGAAAAAGAAATATGAGGCTTAAGAAAAGGAAAGGAAGAAAATAATTATTTTGGCTATTATTGGGAAATGATATGATGGACTATATAGAAAATCCAAAATAATCAACATAAACTTTCAAAAAAGATCCAAATAAATGGAAAGATATGCAAAGCTAATATAATATAATATACTAAAATATATATTATATATTATTTTTATTATTAATATAATAAAAATGTTACTTCTCCTATAGTAGATATGCCATTCCTCTCAGAATGTTTAATATTTTGGTGGAACATTACAAGCTGAATTAAAAAATGCATATGGAAGTGCAATGGGTCATGAATAGCCAAGGAAAAGGTGGGAGGACTTGTCCTATCAGATATCAAGACTTATTATAAGGCTATAGTAATTAAGACAATGTGGTATTGGTGTCAGGATAGATAGACCAATGGAAGGGAACAGAGAACACAGACATGGCATATTATAGACATCTGCTAAATATGAGAGGTGGTATTTCAGATCAGTGTAGGAAAAACAGCTTTTTAATAAGTGGTCCTGGGCTGATTGGTTTTCTCTATGGAAAAGAATGAAAGTGGACACCCTGTGTTATACCAAATATAAAAACCAATCCAGTTGGATTCAAGACCTAAAAGACAAAAACATAATAGAGAAGGCTTTTGCTATGATTTGAATGTTTGTGTGCCTCCAAAATTCATGTTGAAACTTAATCCTTAATGCAATAGTATTAAGAGGTAGGGCTTTACGAGGTAACTGATTAGGCCCTGAGGGCTCCACCTTCACAGAGGGTGCAAGTTCATCCCCTCCATCCCTTCTGCAACGTGATGATGTAGCAAGAAGGTGCCATCTTAGAAGCAGAGAGAACCAGCCCTTACCAGATACCGAACCTGCCAGCACCTTGGTCTTGGACTTCCCACCCTCTAGAACTGTAAGAAATAAATATCTGCAGTTTATAAATTACCTTGAATAAGGTAATTTATTACAACAGCTCGAAGGTGCTAAGACAACTCTAATGGGGACAGAATATCTGTATATTATTACTATAGAAAAAAATTCCCAAGACATAAAAAGTAGAAACAATAAAGGAAAAGACTGATAAGTTTGACCATCTTAAATTTAAGTTAATGTTGATCAAAAGACACTTTAAAGAGAATGAAACCAAGCTACAATCTGGGAAAAGA